TCTTCGCCCTTTTCGTAAATCGCATACACCCGTGGCACGGTCAACCAACTTCCCCGTGGAATGTCGTTTCCTCACCCAACACGCACATCTCGATGGAATGTCAATGGATAAAAAAAATTACATCACCATTGCCAGTTACAAATGCCGCCCCAATATCTAATAACAAGCCATAGTCTGTTAAACGAGCAAAACCCCAAACTCTAAACCAAGAACCCACGCAACTAGCTACTAAAACCATAAATCATAGCTCCAAAACCTAAAACCAGAGTTTGCATTTTGCAAAGGTGGATCGGAAGTAGAGGCACACAGAGGGACAATAGAAAGCGGCGACACACAAGGAAGGAGGGGGAAGTGGCGGCGCGCTGAAGAGGGCTGGATCGGATCAGATTAGTAGTACGCAGCAGGTGGAAGGCTAAGCTCTTGTTATTTAGGGACGGGAGGGGCTGGGAGGGTTTATGGGCCAAATATCCAGTCTATCGTTGTTCCCTACGCCCACCATAATGTGGCACAAAATGGTCATTCCGGAGTGACCACTAGCTACTAAACCATGAACCCACGCAACTAGCTACTAAAACCATAAATTGTAGCTCTAAAACCTAAAACCGGAGGTTGCATGTCGCGAAGGTGGATCGGAAGTACAGGCACATAGAGGGAGAATATAAAGCGGCGACACACAATGAAGGAGGGGGAAGTGGCGGCGTGCCGAAGAGGGCTGGATCGGATCAGATTTTTAGTAGGCAGCAGGTGGAAGGCTAAGCTCTTGTTATTTATGGACGGGAGGTGCTGGGAGGGTTTATGGGCCAACAACCAGTCTACCGTTTTTCCTACACGCCCACCATAATGTGGCACAAAATGATCATTCCAGAGTGACAGTTGGAAATTGGTCTAACTCACCACTAGCTACTAAACCATAAACCCACGCAACTAGCTACCCACACCATAAATCATAGCTCTAAAACCTAAAACCAGAGGTTGCATGTCCCGAAGGTGGATTGGAAGTAGAGGCACATAGATGGAGAATAGAAAGTGGTGACACACAAGGAAGGAGGGGGAAGTGGCGGCGCGTCGAAGATGGCTGGATCGGATCAGATTAGTAGTAGGCAGCAGTTGGAAGGCTAAGCTCTAGTTATTAGGGACGGGAGGGGCTGGTAGGGTTTATGGGCCAAATAACCATCGCTTTTCCCCACGCCCACCATAATGTGGCACAAAATGATCATTCCAGCCCCTCCCGTCCCTAAATTCGTCTAACACACCACTTAATCAGTTCCGTCGGACCATTTTTATCGGTATGACACGACATTTTTGAATCGGCCTGGCATATAAATGCGATGGATAGGCGTTATTCATTTTTTTCTCCGCGCACCCTGATAACTAGCGTTTAATTATGCAGTAAACTGTTTTAGTCGGTTGTTTTTTTTGAACGGTGACAGTACTGTTGACCAAGATACGAGAAAGCGGATTTGGAGCCAGCCGCAGAAACAAAATACCATAACCATTTAACGCGTTGAATATGTATCCTCAGTTTTATTTGCCCGTACGATAAGTATTGATTTACTGGTCAATTAACTTTTTAAATCGGATGGGTCTTCATTGAATAGCCATAATCATGTTGACAAAGATATGAGGAAGCGGGTTTGAAACGAGCTGCAGGAGTTAAAAACCCAAGAAAAAAACATAAATTGTATAAGCGTAACCTTTTTTTTACGTTTAAGTACGAACACTAACCCATCATGACCCGGGAACCCCGAACCATTAAACCTTAAACGCGGACCCCCAAATCAGTGAAACTATGAGGCATGGCCCTAAGCAAAAAAAGTATAAATTACATTTTTTCACTTGAGTTAAAGAACAAATTTATTTGTATTTTTCCTTCTTTTCCAACGACGTTTCGAGGAAAATGGTTGGCACGCAGCGGCCACCGCACGCATGCGTGCTCTCTCTTACGCGGCATCATGCCATGCCTGTCGCGATCAGCATTGAGAGCACGGGCATGGCCCGACACACAACTCACCTGTCAGCACACCTATCCCACTTGCTTCAATGTACTGTCCGGTGCCGTTGGTCTGTCGCCGCAGCGATGCGGCAGCACGCATTGAACTGCCTGTAGCTGTCATCCCAAGGGAGGAATCCACTGTTAATGGTAAAGGTAGCATCCATAGAGGAAAGGCATATGCGCAGTAGCTCGATCGCAATCCAGTAGGAGATCCACGCGTGTCAGAATCCTTTCGGCACCTGTGTCTTCCTACTCGGCAGATCACGTAGACCCGGGGCGCCATTTGTCTTCACTCTTTTTCCACTTGGCCATAATCTAATTTGTTTTCCTCAACTACATTTTTTTTAATAACACGCTCTCCCTTTTTTACGGCACAATGGCATCAGACAAATAAGATAGCCCGATACAGTACGAAGATTTTTTGAGAGAGCAAGCCCGAGTTTCGAGATGTCAAACTTTTTTTGTTTACCTGGAAGCCAATTGGCGGGGAAATGCCTGATATGCGAACGAGAACCCATCAAAAATTTGTTGTTGGGTATTTATTCAAAATATGTACTTCTTCTTACTAAAAATATGATCTTTCCGTTGTCTATATACTTGCCAAGACAGTCAAATACGCCGTCAACCCTCGTACATTGGTGGGACCTCGGCAACGCAACAAAATGGCACGGAGACATAAATATGCAGTCATTTTCAATTCGTTAGCCCCCCCCCCTCCCCCCACCGCACGCAGAACCGGTGCTATGACCTTCGCGGACACATGTGTCTTAATTGTAAACATTCGACCCAAGGGGAGGGGGCGGTGGGGGGGTTGGTGGGGAAGGGGTGGTGGGGGTGCCGGGTGTGGGGTGCCACTCACACGCCACGCCTGCTGTTTAGGGGGCACATCGTTGTACTGCCTATGGGGGTATCTCTTTGCCGAGTTACTCAGAGACAGTTGTTTCGCGCCATGGGTCCCTCCAACGGTTATTGCACTATCTAGACCAGCATGCATACCCTTTTTTCCTTTTCTCTTTTTGTGTAGCTCTCGAGAATATGAATAGGGTTTTTTTAACACCAATATGGCCAAATGTTTTTTCTGTGCAGCCGCTGATTTCCCGCAAGCAGTCACCTCGTAAAAAATATCCGAAAAACACACACATCTCATGGCTTTTTTCAACTTGGATTTTTTTCTGGGGTGTTCTCCCTTTTTTACATTGTTACGGTGCGCCGAAGTTGTACATACCTTTCCCCAACCTCAGAGCATAATTTCTGAAATAAAACTCTAAACCACGCATCTTTAGCCGACTGATTGCAACTCAACAAACATTTTTGTTGTAAACCATCGATGAGTACCGTGGGTTTTAAAAGATGTTCCACGTCAAAGTACCAGTCTGCCGATAAAAGGAAATGAATGAAATGGGGGTGGCCGTTTTGGTAACCAACGAGTGGTTATACCAGCGGGTGGTAAGGCGGTGCGAGCCCATGTTTATGTGATCTTGGGATCTTCGGTTTGTTTAACCCCCCCCCCCCTATCCAGCATGCAGTTATTGATCTCGCTGCCAATTTTTTGACCTTTTTGGGCCGATTCATCTAAGGAGGCATCAGCGATATAATAAAAGGCCACCATCGAGTACGGTTGTACTAAGCCCGTAAAGGTTAGACCTTTGGATAGCAATAGGCATTTCAAATCTTAATAGCCTCGAGAGCATCGGTACAGAGTGTTAGTTTTCCCGCAGGACGATGCCTCTCCCGCTTAATAAGAATCATTGACTGAACAAGGTCCGCCAGCCAGTTGGTGAGTGGCTCCCATGGTCCGGTGGCACCGCCTTGAGTGGTACTGGCTGGAACGGACCCCCAAGGGAGCGGTTTCCCCCTCCAACGATAGTGATTTCCACTGGTCTTCCATCGCCACTACTTCATGTAATACGTCAAAGCGAAAATAAAACATTTTTTCGTCAATCCCTATGTTTCGGGCTCAAATATATTGAAAATCGAACACGCCGCAAACACACAGTCTAAAAAATAGATTATTTAATTTAATGGCAAAAGAACAAAAAAGATATAACACTTTTTATTTTTGAAATCGAGTTGAAACGCTCCCGTGCCCACACTGCGTCGGCGTGGGAAAAGCACGCCACCATTTTTGGCAGGTGAGTTTTTTCTACCACCACCTGAAAAAACACTCACTAACGAAGAGCACCACATGGCTCACCCAGATGGCCGGTCAGAAGCATGCAAGAGCTGCATGCCTGGTTATTCCCAGCTAGCAATCCGCAATAACTTATATTTACTTTATTTTTTTCTCGCAAGACCGCAAAGCCGCAGACAGACTATACATCCAGTGATGGGAACTTTTCAACCCAGTGGCCGAAAGTGCACTCCGGCCCATCGAAGCATGCCCCCAACGACACACATATGGCCCATGCATGCATCGTTCGCACAACAAGATTGCATTGCATCGTTTTTTTTTTCTGCCACCCTTGTTCAATTATTTCTTTTTTTTCAACACAGTGGGAGTTTTTCTTGAGCACATCAATTTATTTCTTTGTATTTTTTTCGGCTTTCACTGCTTTTGCTGCACAATTTTTTCTTACGTACAACCTTCTTCTCCCGTCATTTTTATGCGGCGGGGGGTCAACGAAGAGAATGATTTTTTTGACCAAGGTTAACTCACAATGTGAGACAATATTATGCGCATCAAACAATATTTTTTCCAACTAACTTCAAACAGAAAATTTAACAATTTTGTCAACAGAGAAAGATATGAAATATTAATGAGAATCTTAATAGCTTGCCCATAGCACACAATCTTTTTATAATTGACTTAAGACAGGAAATTAAACAAATGTGTCAACAGCCTAAGATGAGTCGACATCATAAGCAAACAGATAGTGCCAGACACAGTGCACGACCCTCGCTTTTCTAGATGTTCAAATTAGGTATGGCTTCTAACAGCAGAGGGGTCGCATAGACAAATGCATACCATCAGGATAACAACCAAAAAAACACTAAAATTTCTGAATTTTCATACTTTCGGGGGGTTGCTGCATGTGTTCTTCCTATGCCCGGTCAAACCACATTTTGAGCAGCGAGGAGATTTCCGGGGCGCCTTTGGCACATCACCCCTTGCAGGGCATGTCGTGCTCTTGTGCCCCTGAAGTCTGCATATTGAACAAAACCTAGTCCTCTTTGATGGTTGTTCATATGGAGGCTTGTCACGGCTAGTTGTAGGGCGCCCAGCCGGCCGCTTCTTTGATGCAGCTGGGAACACATCCAATCCCTGTGAAATGGTGTGCTCAGACTCAGGTCGACCAAAGTGCTGCTTGTTACCAACGCCGGAACCCGCTGAATCTGCGTCCAGCTCCTTATCAGACAACCCAAGTCCATCCCTCACAGCAGCAACTGGCTCCAGCTGCACTTTGACATGTCGCAGTTTTTCCTCAGCAAGAGCATATGCTTCCACATTGATGTCACCTAACTTAACAACATCCAGCGCCAAGAGGTATAAAGTGTTGTGTCGACGAGAGGAATACTTGAGCGGCCCATGATCCTTTTGGCAGCGCAAATACTCTGGCGGCAGTATATCTCTCGCGTCTTTTGTCCATATCTTCAGCACATGCTTCGCAGGGAGCTCACGCAGTTTTAGGTGTATCATCACCTGAAAACCAGCATCCATGAAAAACAGAGTCATTATTCTGGTGCTTTCAAAACTATCTATAGCAAATGTAGGGAGCTTGCCGCGATTTTCAGAAAAAAAATATTGCAATTAAGGAAGAGGATGTGCGATCACTCACCTTAAGTGCATGGCTGCACACCATTCCATAGTGCTCAAACGTCCCACACTCACACTTGAACTCGTCGGCTGCCTCGCTCACAGTGATCACAAACTCGTTCTTGCACCATTTTTCCCTTGACTGAAATTTGATGTGCCTAGCAATATACTCCAAGCGTGGCTTGACTTCTATTAGGTCATAAGATCCACATCCATACAATACTTCACCAAATTTCTCAAACATTGTCCTGGTGTACACCTCCGACGCATGTACCTCAATTGGGATATTTTGCTTCAGGACAACCCCACCCTGCAAATGATGATCATATAACAAAAGATTTTTAGTATTCGTTAATCACAGTTGTTTCTTATGTTATAGGGACCAATTGCATCTCACCAGTTTTGTCCTTTTCTCTTGGTAACTTTCTTCGGAATCGCGGTCAAATTGCATCTTCTCATATTGCCTGATGAACAAGTGCACGGGGCACCCCGGTGGCACATATCCTTTCAGAAGGTGGTTTGCACTCTCGCTTCGTTGTGTGCTTGTCATTTTCGCACAGAATACATCCATAAAGTATGGCTTTGCCCACTCCCCCCTCACCTCATACAGCTGGGTCAGGAATGCATTTTTTTTGCAGCCCATATTTCTCCAACATGCAAGCCCACCCATTCTCGAACTCATCAATACTAACTGCGTGGTGGACTAGTTTGCTGAACTCTGGCTTGAATTCACTCCCTTTTGCAAGCAGTGCTCCAAGGCTCTCCTTTGCTTTCTTCAGTACGTGCCATTTGCACCAACGATGTACAGTCCGCGGTATCATGTCAGCTATTGCAATTTCCATCGAACGAGCTTGGTATGTATCAACAATATAGAAAATCAAGCAAGAGCATTAAACTTTTATACCTATAAGACGGATCACAGCATATTGATGTAAATCAATGCGCAATTATTTTTCTGTTTTTACGCAGGGTGTGTTACATGTTAAGATAGTTTTAGGCTGTGGTGCTGCTAGCATTTGGAAGAACTCTGTGAATATCCACTTGAAAGTCTCCACCTTCTCATCACTCATCAGTACACCTCCAAAAATGACACTCTGGAAATGATTGTTAACACTAACAAATAGGTCAAATGGCATGTCGTACAGGTTTGTCTTATAGGTCGTATCAAACGTCACAACATCACCGAAACACTTGAACTGCTCAATGCCTCTACCAGTTTCCCACATCAGTGTCTTAATTCTGCCCTCGGTGTCCACCTGGACACTGTATTTAAATTCTAGGTCCTCTGCCTGCATGTCATTGAACACATCTATGGTTTTTGTTGCATCATTTAGCGACTGTTCCCGGTTCAGTTTTCCACATAGTGTTTTAAGGACCGTTTCGTGAATGGCACGTCCCTAATCATGCCAAAAGAAACTCCCTACAACACTATACACCTTGCTAATGCTGATATTATTCTCTCTCAACTGCTTAACCAGGTCCCTCGTATAGGTATCTATGTGTCGGTGCGACTTCCAGTGCAATTTCTCTCCACAAATGACAGATAAAGCATGGTTGTGCTCTGACCTGTGCTCACATACATACCATCCACCATCATCCGACCTCAGCAGTCTTATCATGACATTGCAGCCACACCTCGTTGACCGACTGTTGGCCTGCAATGGCTTACCCTGCAGGAAACAAGCGTGGAGACAAAAGACATGCCAATTTTTGTTAGTAAATATATGTGACAGAAGCATCAAAATACAAGAGAATGTTGTTCTGCCTAGTTACTCACCGCACAGGCACACACTATCTCTTGCATGCACTTTTTCCGGTGTACATTCAAACGGCTTTTTGCATAGCGGACACCAAAACCGACCTCCCATGAATACAGATTGTAAAACTCGTAGCCCTCTTCGACAGAATCAAAGCTAGTCCCAATAGACGGATTGACAACATTTCTAGATTTTTTTATCGACAAATGCACGGACAGAAGCTTCAAGGGCAGTCATCCTCGAAGAGCTGGGCTCCCTCACATCAGCCGCTTTCCCAACTCTAACCCTGCGAAGAATGGCACACAACCCAATCAGATTTTAATTGGTTTGAAAGAAAAGCAAATACAGTGGCGACCATAATATCGCTGCCCATAGATGACACAGGAGATAGTTATGGTGTCTCGAACATAGCTATACATTTATCATCAAGCAATTCACAAAAAAAATCACTTGTACCGACCAAAAAAAGAAAACAAGAGATGGTTATGGGTTTTCTTTTTTCAGTCAGCAAAATCATTCATTATCTGTAATCTGGGCACGCTAGCCATGGCTTGAAATCGACATAGCATATCCTGCATCTGGGGCATGAACGTCCTGGTGCTGCTAGATTACTGTACTTTTTTCAGATATTTACAATACTCATATACTTCAGTAATTTTCAGGTTTTGGTCCAGCGACTAGTAAGACAAGCCATGAGATGAACAGCATCACAGCAAATCTATTAGCCAAACCGATAGGCATAAATTCTAGATCAGGGCAAAATCATTAAAACCAGCGAAGAGGCTAAAAGTTCAAGGAACGGTAAAATTACCTCTTGGTCCAACAAGACTGATTTGCGTTTGACACTGCGACGCCCTCTTCGACTGTATCGTTATCCTTGGCGCCAGATGCAACTTCTGTATCGCCTATCTCGCAGGAGTCGCCCACACCTTCGCCGCCAAGATCAGACGAGCCGCGCCCCCTCCCAGTGAGCATTGTTTCACCTGTATCCTCGCGCCCTTTGTAATCCTTCAGTCCTCCAACTAGCCCCATCGGCAGAGAAGAAGTCAAGACCTTGTCAGCGTCAGCACTCCCACTGGTGCCGCCACCAGGCAGGTCCACGCCGGCAACTAAATCTCGTAGGAAGTCACCGCCGTCCAAGCGCGGCACGAGCCTGCGAAGGCAGTCAAGAGGACAGCCAGATCTGACTCTTATAAGAACAAGACGGGGGGAAATTACAGTCCAAAATCGAAATCCAGTTCACAAAACCACACCCATCAGCGGAAACTTTGGCGCGAAATAGGAATTTTTAGAGAACTTTACCCAGCTCCAGAATCCTCGAAGAAGAACTCCATGCCGTCCATGGCGAGAAGCGGCGGTCACCTGGCCCGGTTCTAGTGCCCATGCACGACCACAGACGGCTTAATGGTCGTCGCTATGGTTGGACAGGCCCAACAGATACATTTATTTCCCGAACCAACCCCCACCTGCTCCCAGGCCTCGCTGGCCCACATACAAATTGTGAACATGACTACGCGGCACATCTGTATACGCACTAAATAGGTCTCGTATATAGTAAAAACAGCAGCCATCACGCATCGCAGCGCCAAGACAACCGCTCCAGATAGCGGCCTCCATGCAGCTCGTCCACCAAAACGCCCCTCTCTACTGCTCGTATTAGTCCTTTGATGTGGACTAATTGTCCTTCATTGCCAATGTGCAGGATGAGAGTCGTTAGTTTGGTACGGGGAAACTTGAGCGAGCTCGGGAAAATAATAATTGTACAACAACGATTGTTGATTAGGGTCATTTTTCGACTTCTAAATATTCAAAGTGCATGTTGTGTTGTTCGGGTTTGATCTTTGTTTTTCCTTCTAAATTATCAAGCTCTAGAAAGCTTGCCGTGTGACGTTTGGTTAATTTGGTGCATGGATGTATATTTCTGTAGCAAGTT